ATTTAGAGCCTTGCCTTCGCCAATAATGTGTTGTCACACTGATTGATTCATGACTTTGGAGATCTAAATCTCTCCTTGAATGTAGTTTGGTCAATTTTGCCGTCTTTGGGAACCCGGAACACATTCTTAGACCCTGATTATTGCGCCTACTCCAAATGGCTCTGCAACCAGATGCCTCGGTCTATGTATGATGTCTATTGCATTCAACTGTTTTCGCAGATGCCTATCCTACTTCCGTCACGTCTTCCACGAACTGAAGCTTTTACCCAATTTCCAAAAAAATGACACCAGTGTCTTCATGTAGCGTTTCGTTTGATCGGTAGGCATGCGCATAACTGTGTATGGTAACCCGAATTGAAGCTGTCGTCACTGTTTACTTGTGTCGTGAATATGATGAACAAATTGTGAATACACCGTGGCATTTCTTCTACATTGATTTGGACGCAAGAGTATGCAGTAAGGATTACTGTAGTTACGCGTGAACTTAATTTTCTGGCCCCATGGTCTGGTAGCACAGGATTTTCGTGGTTAGAACGTCGACCTCGTCTTTTTCAAATCCATCTTGATGCTCCACTTGTCTACGTTGAAAAGGGCTTCTGCTGCATTAACGGCTTTCAGCGAATAGGATTTTACAAGGTTGAAAAGAGACCAAAGCTAAGTGAGTTCATGTAACGCCTAATGTAATATGCTGAAATGGAGGGGTGTTTCGTGACAGTTGTGTAGCATGATGTCAACCAGTTAACTATGGTTTACTTCATGCTTGCTGAAAAAGGGCGCTCAATATTCTGACTAGGATAAGTGTACATGAACACGTCGCATGTGGCTTTATAAAACAGTAACGAATTGGAGTAAACGGAGCCTTTAAAATCGTACTCTCTTACTTTAAATCTTACACTTGGCGTTTAGACCAAGCTCAACGATGCCGTCATGCGTCTAGAGCTGAAAGAAGCGGAGGTTTGCCATCTGAAGGAGGTCATATCGAGACTCAATATTGACCTAGACAGCAGAGATACTGCGGTTGTCATGGCTCACGAAGCCAAGGTAGCTGCAGAGACTGCTCTGCAGCAACTCACTGACGATCTGGCAACTCTTGGGGCTCGTCTTCAATTCGAAGTCTCCAGCGCTTGCCTTCTCACGTCCGAAGCCAGCAGCCTTGCTGAGAGTGTCGCAAGCATCCTGAAGGAGAGGGAAGAGAAAGTCCAATCGGCATGGGATCGC